ATAGCAGTGATGAGGAATCTAATTCTGGAATTTCTTTAGCTGAAAATTAAAGTTCGAGGTACAGTGATAAGTACTATGAAGACTCCATTAACCTGCATGTTACTGTATATTTCCCATTGCAAAAAAAAAAAAAAGTACTTGTGTGCTGGTGGTTTTCAGGACAGGTGAGTGGACTTATTCAGGGGACAATATAAATAGCAACTTCTGCCAGCTCTATATCAGATGTTCTAAGAGAGACAGAGCTTCTGCAAAATGAAGAAAATCTATATACAAATTATGAGAGCACATCAAAATCAATTAAGTAGGCATAGCATGGACATGGCCTCTAGATATGAACTTTAGAGAAAACTGAAAGATCTATTTTATTTCATAAGAAGACAAATATCCCTGACAAGGGGGTCTTACAGGTTCTGCTCATATAATTCCTATAATGAAATCCTGACTTGCTTGATTTAATTAGAAATTATTGAATGGTTTCTACATAGTCGGTACTCTGTTAAAAGCCACAACTACAAATCCCAATGGCGTGTGTGTGTGTATTAGTATTACACCTTGTTTCAGAAAGCATTTGTACCTGCATATAAGGATTTATAGTGTATACAAAAATTTCACAATGAATAAAAAACAGACAAATAAAAAGGCAAAGGGTAAAATTAATCGTAACTACAAAGGTGGCGAATATAAATAGTTATGCCATAAAGTCCTCTTCACTTCAGGTAGGTCACTACATGGCAAGAGGTCAAACACATCCATTTGCATTAAACTGAACATTCCTTAGGTTGAATTTCTAGAAGAAGAATAACTTAGGAAAGGCTATAATTGTTCTGAACGCTTTTGACTAATAATGCCAAGTTGCCTTCTGCAAAGGTTATTAGATTTAAAATCCTGTCATCATTGTATGAGAATGTCCACTTTCCTATATGTTAACTAATTCTGTATATTATCATTCTTTTAATCATTGCCTTCCTAATTAAATAATATATCATTTTTATTTTCATTCTCACGGTTATTAAAGTAGTCAAAAATTGTCATATAATGTTGGATTTAATATTTGGTGACTTGCCTCTTGGAAACCTTTACTGTTTTCTTTAACTGAGATGTTTGTTATTTTTTTAGTGAAGCACATAAAGTCTTTAAATAATAAAGACATGATATAATATATAAGAAAAAGAAGCTATTTCCTGTCACATGTGTTGGAGTACTTTTTTCCTCCTGTTGTGGATAAATTTTTAAACAAATTTTTATATACTAATAATGCTTTATTTTTATTTAGTTTAATTCACTAATCATATCCTGTGTCATTTCTGCCCTTGTCAAATTCCATGGGTTTTATTCAGACCAATATCAGACAAATACCTATGTATATTTTCTTATACATATGTATAAGCATAAATGCATAAATGTAAAATTTACATTTAAATTTGCATATACATTCATGTTGAATTTACTTTGGTATAAAATATAATCTGGGAATCTTAGTTTGTTTATGTTTCCAGATGATTAGATTATTATACTAATACCAATCCTTAAACAATCATTCAGTTCTTCACCGAGATGAAATGTTAGACTTACAATTCTGCTTTGAATTGTTTATCCTGTTTGATTAATAATATTATAACGATGCTAGAATTTCTGCTTTAATTTTTAGAGGTTGATAATAAATTTTTCAAACTTTTATTATGCTTTTCTTGATAATATTTTTTCTTCGGTGTTTTGAACTATTTAGTCAACAGCCATTTTACTAGGTACTGGGAATTAAGTAGTAAACCAGAAACATATCTATATTGAGGCTACATTTTAATTTGAAAAAAAATCACTAAACAACTAATTACCTAATTAATTATTTAATTGTGAACTCAACTAGTACAGGGAGCAAAGAGACCTACCAAAAGTATCTACAAAAGGTGAATATGAAAAAGTTCATCTGAGAAATAGATTTTGAAGACAAACTCTAAAGGATGAGAAGGAATTAGTAATAAAAGGAATAGTAGCAGTGAATTTTTCAAGCAAAAGTTAACAGCAAGCATGTGCAAATGTCATAAGAAGATAAAGAAGAATGGCACATTTGAGGAATGTAAAGATTACTTGATTGGCTGCAGCTGAGAAAGCAAAGAGGAGAGTGGATCAAGCTGAGACTGGTGTACCGAGACCATGTCATTCAGAACCCTAAAAGCCATGTGAAGAATTTTATTTATTTTTCTGAACAATGACAAACTATTCAGAGGACTTAAGAAGGAGGGAAATGTCATGAGATTGGTCTGGCTTCAATATGAAGAAAGAATCAGGAAAGAACAAGTGTGGATATAGCGGGACTTTTTACAAGGTTATTGCCATGGAGATGATGGTGGCTTAGAATAGGCACATGACAGTAAGGCGAGAAGAAGACATGTTAAAGAGATGCTTAGGAGGGAGAATCAAAAAGAATTCATGGATTTAGTAGATGTAAAGAATAAGAGAGTAAAGCATCAGGGATGTGTTTTAGGACTCTGGGAATGTGAAACAAAGCAGAGGCTAGTGACGTTCACTGTGAGGGAAGAGAACCAGGTCTTATTATATATTTAACTTTATTAGTCTATAAAAATCAAAAGAATGCTACATATTTAGAACTAAGAAGTGAAGTTTCAAGGAGTGATATGTATTAAGGAGTCAGCAGCAAGTGGGTAACCAATTAAACTATGTGGTGGATGAGGGAGCTTATCTTAAAAAAGGGTGTAGTGAGAAAAAAGGGCCAAACTGAAAGCTTAAGGAATTTCAATACTTACAGTTTAAGTACACAAAAAGAAACCGGCAAAGAAATTTGGCTTATAATGATTAGAGACATAGGAGAAAAACTAGGAGAATGTGAGAGGAGCCAAGAGAAACAAGAACAAAACAATAAAATACTGCTAATTGAACAAATGAAGGAAAACAAGAAGAAAGCATAATTACTGAAAATCAGAAATGTTAAGCAGGGTGTTAATCCAAAAGAAAAAAAGAAAAAATGTTTAGACTCATAAGGAATAAATTTGCTTGCCTCTGTGAAAAAAATATGAAAACCTGGAAGAAATAAGCAATTTTTTAGAAAAAAACACAATTTACCAAACCCAACTGTTGAAGAGAACAACGTTTAAAAAGATCAATTTCCATAAAAGAAATAGAAAATTTTGTCAAGCATCTGTTGCCAAAAACTACTAGTCTAAGACTATTTTCCACAGGAAATTTCTACAAAATCAAAAAAAGCAGATAATTTTAACGCTATTTAAACAGTTACAGAGCATAAATCAAAAAGGAAAACTTCAAAGTTCTGTGAAATAAGAACAACATTGGCACAACACTTATAATAAATTGTACCCAAAAAAAACCTAGCGATAAATTTCAGATGTTGATATTGATTAAAAACATCCACATAAAATATTATCAAACAGAATCCTAAGAAATATATTATGATTGTTGTAATCTTTATTCTCGTAATACAAAGGTGGTTCAATATATGGAAAACCATTATCAAAGTTCATAATGTTAAAATATTTAGGGAGAAAAATCATAATCATCCCCACATATCCTAATGAGGCATTTAACAAAACTAAATATCTTTTTTGATAGAATATAATTAATAGACTAGGAGTAAGAGTATACTTTCTTAAAAAATGAAAAATATTTCTAATTCAGTCCAAAAGTCATCTAACCAAAAATCCAGTATGGTGCTTTCTGAGGAAAGATGAGATTCTTTGAAAGGCAAGAATAAGAAAAGGAAGTCCACTATCATTATTATTATTTAGCAATTTTCTAACCAACATAATCAGAAAACAGAAAAAATAAGAGTTGTAAACTTTGAAGGTGAGACTTAAAACCATCCCTATATGCAAATGATATGACTGGAGAATGATATATTGGGGGAACCCGATATAATTAACAAATATCACTGTAATCAATAAGAGACCTTGGCAAGCTAACAGAATAAAACAATTAATACAATTAAAACAAATGCTTTCATATATACAAACAACTTGTTTGTAGTTAAAATGGAAGATAAAATTTCTAGTAGCAAGAAAAAGTACTAAATACTTAGTAATAAACTTAACAAAACTATGGAGAAATTTTTAACATACTTCTGACAAAAGAAGACTGGCAGTAAAGGAGTCTTTGAGAATACTTGAATTAACAACAGCGTTGTTTGATAGGGATATTTAGCATCATAAAGATATCAATTTTCCCTAAGTTAATTTTAAATTTAATATCATCCTGATAAAAAAGTAAACTATTTCTTAAAATAAATTGCTGATGCAAAATCCTATACAGAAATTTTGTAAAGTAAAAAACCTTGAAATTTATAAAAATAAGAGTAATAGTGGGAGATTAGCTCTCATTAATAGTAAAACATTATAACCCTTAGTAATTAAAACAGTGTGGTACTGGCACATGAATATACAGTTCAACAGAACAGAATAGAAATTTCAAAAATAGATCTCAAACATATTAAAAATTAGTATCTGATAAAGTTCTCTCATACCAGTAGGGATAAAATTGCCTATTAAATAAATGGTTTTGGTACAAAAATAAGGTCAGAGCTATAACAGGGTGAATTCCAAATGATTCAAAGATTTAAATGTAAAGAAATGAGTTCATAAAAGCTACCAGGAGAAAAAAGAAAAAGAAAAAAAAAAAAGATGCTCTATAATATCAACGTGGGAAAAAGTCTTCCATAACTCAAAAGTCAGAATCCACACACAAAAAGGAAACCACCAGAAACAACAAAAAACACCTCTACTTGGCAAAAATTACCATACTGAACATCAAAGAATAAATGATAAACTGGGAAAAATACCAGTCACATCACAGCTTATCTCTTTAATATATAAAGAATCCTGTAAAATTGTTAAAGAAAGAGACATAAAAATGGGCAAAGGATATGAATAGGATTTTTATGAGAAAATCAAAATTCTGCAAATGGCTCTTAAACTTATAAAAACACGTTGATTTCACTCATAATAATGGAAAGGCAAATTATAGGTAAACTGAGACTGCTCACGTCGGCAGCACCTATACCAAGAATTGAAGTGGCACAGAGAAAAATAGCATAGTCCTTGTTCAAGGATGACATACGAATTCATGCAGCTTTCCATATTAAAATAGACAAACAAATGAAGATACGATTTTTAAGCATCAACCTGACAAAAATCCAAGAATTTTATAACACACTCACTGGCAAGTCTGTGAGGAGTAGAATTCTCATTCATTCCTGGTGAAAGTGTAAATTAGTACAGTCTCTATGGAGGGGAATTTTGAAGTATCTATAAAAAATTATAAGGTATATACCCTGTAAGCAACCAATTCTACTTTTAGGCATGTATCTTACATACATGTTCTTATACATAGAAAATGATGTATGTACAAGGTCATTCATTGTGGTATAGCTTGTAATAGCAAAGTTTAGAAACAAACTATCTGTCCGTTAAGAACACCTTAAATATTTTATGAGATATCCTACACAATGGAATGCGATACACTGTGCATGTTGATCTGGAAAGATCTTCAAGGCACATTTTTAAGTAAGGAATACAAATGTAGAAAAGTGTGTATAATACGGTACCATTGGTGTAAAATACAGGAAATAATTCATTCATATTTGCTTTTATATACATAAAAACCTGTCTGGAAAGACACACAAGAATCTAACACAGTAACGCATGTTTAAGAGTGTACTGGGAACTGGACAAATAAGAAACAAGTAGGGAGGAGACTTTGCATTGTATAACTTTTTATATTCTCTGAGGTTTGAAACTTGTGAATTTTATTGTAAAAGTAAAACATTTAAAGAAGATTGCTTGGGAATAAAGAGAAAAAGATTTACCTGTCCTGAATGAGAACATTCCTTAATCTGATTGGTAATAGTCATTACACTCGCTAAAGATGCTGAGGGACAATAGCTTGTGTACCAAAGGAAGGTTATGATTCTACAGAGGATCTGATCTTGCCAAGAGTGATGGATCTGCTACTGTGTACTTATCAAGACAATATTTCAAAGACTTGATAAGAATGGCTCTTACTGGACCATAATCTTACTCATCACAGCTGAAATTGACAACAGGTTCAATATTCTACATGTCTTCTTAAAAATCACAGAGAATGGTATTGCAGTGCATGCATCCACTTAGTTGAGGACTGTGTATAAAGCACACTGTTGGACTCTACTTTCAAGGAGCTTATGTTCTTCAAGGGTAAATAAGCCCTATATATAAATACAAATAACTGCTAATTATGTAGGAAGTACAAAAGGTTATGAGAGAGATAGAGTGCCATGGGTTTTAGAGGAACCAGAGATGACCTCCAGCTGGAAAATAAGAAGGGAGAGATCAAGGGAGATCCAGCATTTAAGTGAAATAAGAAGGCCAAGAAGATCTGTGAGCCAAACAACATTTCAGATGGAGAATATAACATGAAGACAGGAAGAGAAAAAGACGGCAGGGAGAGGGAAGAACAAATAGTTCAATGTGGCTTAAGAATATGCTATTTGAAAAGTGGAATCGTTGAACGCAGATTAGAGGGCCCTGAGTTGAAGGCTAAAGAGTGTGGATTTTACTTCATGAAACTGGGAAGGTTCTGGAAGTTTAGGAGAGTAGGAATAACAGCATTCAGTTAGCCCCTTAGTAAGCTTGACCTGGCAACAACTTTGTAGGATGGGCTGGAGGAAAAAGTTGCTCATGGGGAAAGGATAACAAGTAAGACGCTATTGGAGAAGTCCAAATGAGACGTAATTAGAATCATGACATGGAGAATGCAAGGGAACAGATAAGTGGCATCATGTGGAGGTGTGAGGAAGTAATAGGGAATCAATAAATATCTGTTGTATGAACAGATGATTACATGGCTGAATAAGTGAATGAAGCCAGACAGGTAGAAGCAAGAAATAAGGAGCTAAATTTTTTTCCTATTCCTCACTCGAGGTATTAGTCAAGCCTGCATCCAGTTCTCTCTTCAGTCTTTTCTCCCTTCCTGACACCCTTAGAGGAAAGGCAGAACAAACAGCCTGTCACTGGACCGGGAAGGGGAAATCCTAGTAGTTTCTCTGATCAATGAGGAAAGGCTGGAGTGCATTGCAGAAGGGCTGTGGCTTCATAGGTCTACATACAGTGGATTCTCAGTTGCCTCAGAAGGGATTTGGCCTAGTTATTTTTCTTGTAGCCACAACCTACTAATGGCTAGAGAGATACATTAGACCAAATCAGGAAATGGAGGCAAGGATAAAGGATACTCTGATTCCTCTGTGACTATAGAATTGAATACTGGATGTCGTTCACATATGGATGGGAAAACAGAGGTCTGAGGAAAGAAGAGAGGAAAGAAAGATTTTAAGAAGGAAGCAAGGAAAGAAAGAAGGGAAAGAGAGAAAGAGGAAGGAAGGAAGGAAGAAAAGAAGGAAAGAAGGAATGAGGAAAGGAAAGAGGGAGGAAGAAATGAAGAAAAAGAAGGAAAGAAGGAAGGGAAAACATTGTTTTTAAAAACTTCTGTTGAAAGATTTATAGACATTTACCCCTAATGATCAAATGAAGTAAGTACTATAATTTTTAATTTTATAGATGAATCACTTGGATTATTATTATTACTAGTATTATTATTGTTCTTATATCTCAAGCTTTCTTATAAAGTCACTCCCTTGGGCAGCGGGTCAGTGTGCAATAAAATTGATTATAACGAGGAAATGCAATTGCTGTGTGAACATGGACTGTTTGGGAAAAGACGATTGGATTGATAATACAATTTGCATATCCTTCTTAATTCAACTGATGCTGTTAGGGGAACTGCACTTTTAGCAGTCATTGTCGGATCTAGTTTCTATGGAAATTTTAGGTTGCTGCCATTGGATAAAGTCAATGATGCCATGGAAACAACATCCTTGATAGTGGCAAGTTTCCTCTTTGGAGGTATGACTTGCTTTTTCCCTGAAATGTAACACAACCCACTGACAAATGATAAGTTCCGCCATGGACACACACAGTGTAAACTGTCTACGCTGCAGTTCTTCTCGAAGTTACTGTACAGAAGGGAATTACATATCTAAATAATTTTTCAGTTAAAGAATGAAGAGAAAGAAAAATAACATAATAATCAATATCAGGCAGACTGTCTTAATCTAAACTTAGTCATTAAATCCACACCTAATGTATAGATATGTTCTTTATGTGGACTTTCCTCCCCTATATATATGAGATATCCTAGTAAGGCAGAGAAACCCTCTCGCCCTCTCCATGCTCTTTCACGACTGTTTGCCACTCCACCCCACAGTCCAGATTCCACAGTGTTAAGAATTGCAGCTGCTTGCAGAGGTCTTAGTCTTCAGTTTGCAACTGGCTACCGAGTGGAGGGGTTACCAGCAGATAGAAACTATGTATAATGAAGCATGGAGTGAGAAGAAGTATTTCTTTATTAAAATATTTGTTGTGTAACTTCAACTAATACATGTCACCTACTGAATAAATGATATTTTCATTATAAACAAATATTTTGAATTATTTCACAATGTATTATCTATTTGTATAACAATGGTTAACCTGCCAACTGGATCAGCCCTTAGATAATTGAAAGTTGATATGTGATGGTACAAAGAATCCTGGAGTATTCATAGCAAATGTCTTGTAGATGTTCTAGTCTATAAATGCCCTCGATAAAAGAAGGAGTCAAGTGGATTGAATGCAGTGACTAGTAGGCAAGTGGAGTCCTATGTCTTCCTCCAGGTCTCCTGTTGTTCGCTGGTGTCTCCACTTTTCTTGGTAGCAGAGGCTTTTTGTGGCAATCTAGTATTAACAGGAGAGGCTAGAACACATGTTTTAGAACACTGCATGGCAAGACACTGCTTTAAGCTAGAGGATAAATTCACTTGGTTCTTTTTTATTTTTTTGGTAGAGGGGAGTGTTAATGGATATTATGGAAGAGCTAAAGGCCTTGAAGCCATCCCTTAGTACAACTACTGCTTCTCTGACCACCGCTCTCCTATTTCATAAGGTTCATCTCAGCTCCATTTTGATCTGATTTATAAAAATAAAAAATAAAGTATGAATTATTCAGCTTTCCTCAGATATAATGCAAATGAAAAATGAGATGAGTTAATTACTTAATTAAATTAATAAATTAATTAATCTCTCATGAACATAATGAGACTTTTGACGTTTCTCTATCAGGTCCAGTGGAACCCTGAGCATGCTTCAGATTGATTTATGTGGTTATTTTGGTGCTGGCCTGTCCCAAGAAGTCTACTCCTGTTAGATGAGTTTCTTACTCCATTTCCAATGTGAGGAAACTCAAGGGGATAGAATTGATTTGGGCATTAAAACATGGTGGTCTCTTCTGTTATCTTAAGTATTTGGATGGGTCACTGCTACCCAAAGGTGAATGTGCCATCCTGCTGTGGGCGAGTGAGCTGTTCCCTCCAGGCAGGGGTTAATAATAAACACCAGGTTATCACAGTGAAGGCAGGGTGTAGGACTCAGATGGACAAAGAAATTTATAAATCAATGAGGACATTTGGATGTGAACCCTGAGAATCAGTAATCCCTGAACTTCTCCATCAAGTGCTTTAGCTGTTGTTCAAAGGAAAATTGGTCTTAACTGACATTTATTTGGCTTCTTTCAGAACTCTTTCGTTGGTTCTATTCTTTTGGAGTTTTGCACAACTTGGAGTTTTATTCTAAAAACCTTTCTCAATTTTTGTCAGAAGATTAAGTTATATTTGTTACTTGACAGAGTAGCATATGTGCCCTGGAGTTTTGGTGATGCCGGGGTAGAAATCAAGCTTTGTGTTTCTTCCAGCTCCCCTCATTGTGCCTGCCCTACCATATGCACATATATCTTCTTTGTGTTTCTTCTATCTCCAATGGGCATAAACAGTATGAAGAGCCCAGTTAAAAGATCCTTCTCAATCCCTATCTAAAAAAGGGACAAATATGAGTGAACAACAAGACCAGGAAATAATCCTCCTCAAACTGCTGCCCAGAATTCAAACCATAATGTCTTGAGATGATGCTTCATCAAAGCTGCATTGGCCTTGACATGTGAGCCTCCCTGGGCTGTAGTCCTGGGTGGATAAAAAGGCTAATCACACTGCACTTTTGGAAAGAAAAATAGGAGTGCTATG